TCCTCTCCACACTCAGCCCTGTACCTTGGAGGCAACCACCTTTAATAGTCTTTAAATTCTTGCAGTTTCTACCATTATACAAATAATATATTCTGTTTCTTTTTGTGTTAACTTTCTATGTTAACTTTTTAAAATTTCATTTTTTGTTGAAGTGTAGTTGATTTACAATGTTAGTTTCAAGTGTACAGCAAAGTGATTCTGTTATACATATACATATATATATTTTTTTCAGATTCTTTCGATGTTAACTATTAACTTACCACTTTGAAAAATGAGGAATTTAATTCTTTCATCTTCCCCACTCTGAAATTAGTTACACTGTTATTTGTAGTTCTTTTATTGCTCACTGTAATTTTTATTAATAAACTTTTTTACCTGTTTTGTCAGCTTTAGACAGCAGTCCTTTAACCATACTCATGCTCCATCGCTTAAGAACTAGAAATTAGCATTCCATACACTATCCTCCATTTACTTCCTTACAATGCCCATTTCTTACATTCCTACCATTGTCAAAGTTTATAAATTTTGTTCTGTAAACTATTAATAAGCCTTCCATGTTTTGGATATAGGTTATTTCTAAAAATCAAAAATAAATAGTCAGTGCTTACAATTCTCGGATTTTGTAAACATTTTCTATAGAACTAAATAATGTCATTGGCCTCATAGGGAAACAAATATAATTTTTTATTGAAGTATAATTGACATACAACATGGTATTAATTTCAAGTGTACAACATAATGATTCAACATTTTTATACATAGCAAAATGATTCTCACAATAAGTCTAGTTATCATCTGTCATCATACAGAGTTACAAATTTTTTTTTGTGATAACAGCTTTTAAGATTTACTTTCTTAGTAACTTTCAAATTTGCAACACAATGTTATTGACTATGCTTTTCAAATTAGTGTCTTCCATTTCTTTGTACAAATAGCCCGAAGTGGAATTGCTGGATTATATGGTAGTTCTATTTTTAGTTTTTTGAGGAACCTCCTTAAGTGTTTTCCATAGTGACTGCACCAATTTACATTCCCACCAACAGCACAGGAGGGTTATTTTTTCTCCACATCCTTACCAATGCATGTTATTTCTTGTTCTCTTGATAATAGCTCTTCGGACAGCTGTGAGGTGATAATCTCATTGTAGTTTTGGTTTGCATTTCTCTGATGATTAGTGAGCATCTTTTCATGTACTTGTTGGCCATTTCTATGTTTTTGGAGGAATGTCTGTCTGTTCAGTTCCTCTGCACATTTTTTAATTGGATTGTTTTTTGTTACTGAGTTGTATATATTTTGGGTATTAACCTCTTATCAGATATATGACTTGAAAATATCTTCTCCAATTCAGTAGGTTGCCTTTTTGTTTTGTTGATGGTTTCCTTCACGATGCAGAAGCTTTTTAGTTTGATGTAGTCCCATTTATTTTTGCTTTTGTTGTCATTGCCTTTGGGGTCAGATCCAGAAAAGTATTGCTAAGACTGATGTCAAGGAGCTTTCTGCTTGTGTTTTCTTCTAGTTTTATGGTTTCTGGTCTTACATTCAAGTCTTTAATCCATATTGAGTTAATTAAGAAATATAATCTTATGTTGCTAATTCTCTACTATTCAGTGTCCTGAGCATCAAAGTCTATGGATTCTCTCCTGTATTCCAGCAGCACTCAACATCATGTTATATTCTAGTTGGTTTTCTTTTTGAACTGGGACTTTATTTGCCTAAACATTTTCTTATATAGAAGTTTTTTTTTTCCTTTTGGAGTTTCTGCTGACCGTTTATTTTTGTTGAGAGAAGAAATACAGCTTTTCATCTCTTTGCTAGGATTTTTGGACTTCAGAGTCATTCTCCATGTTAAATGGAATCTTTTTTCTTCTTAAAGTCATTTTTTCACTAATCCTTCCTGTTCTAATTTAAACCAATTACTTTATGGGCACAACTGTCATCTCAGTACTGTTTTTGATTGCCTGCTGCTTCTTGGACCCCATGGCTTCCTCATCTTGGATTCCCCTCTTGTTTTCTTTTTAATTTTCTCTGAGTAACTACTCCTTAAACATTTTTTTTCCAAGAAAGGTGCATATGAGTTACATTTCCAGAGTCTTAGCATATCTGAAAATTTCTTGGTGTCCCTTTATGTCTCTTATGTCCCATATTTGTCCCTCATGCTAAGTATGGAATTCTAGGTTCAAAATTACTTTCCCATAGAAATTCTATCCTAGCATCTAGTGCTCTTTAGAAGTTTGTTAGTATTATGATTCTTTATAGATTAATTTTTTTCTCTGTCTTTGGAAACTTTTAGAACCTTTATCTCTTTTCTATATATCCTGAGCCCTTTCAATATGAAGATTTGTACCATTCTTTAGCTCTGGTAGAATTTTTTTTTTCTTTCCTGCTTTCTGTATACTCTGTTCCCTCTATCTAGAATGACTTTTAGTTGTATGTGACAACTCTTACATCATCCACATTGCTTAATGTTTATCTCACTTTCTGTCTCTGGCCATGTGCAGTGTTCTGACAGATATCCTTGACTTTGTCTTCCTGGTGTTCTGTTGATTTTTTTTTTTGGCACAGTCAATCATACTTATAATTTTCAGTAATTTGTTCTTATTTTCTAATTCCCAATATTTTATAGCATTATATTTTTGTTTTTTATTGTGTGATATCATCCTGAATGTCTTGAGCATATTATTTGGACGTATTAAAAGTGTTCTTCTGTTTTTGAAATTACTTCTTTCTCTTCTAAGTTATTTTGTACTGTCCATTAGTCCCTCTCTCCTTAGTCTAAATTTACCTAAATGATTCTCTTTTTACCAAAGCTCTTGATTCCGTACAATTCTGAAAATCTATGTCTTTAGCCTATGCTGCTCTCTGTGGCCCCAGAATCATGTATGTATTTAGCCATCACCTGCTAGAGAACTCTATAAAATGTGTACAAAATCATCTTTTCCTTATTTCCTCTCTCAGGTTAACAACTACCATTTCCTTCATTGTTTAAGCCAGAAATCCAGACATTGTCCTTGACTAGTTCCTCCTCCTCTCCCACATTCACTAAATTTGATGGCTCTCTCTCTCTTTAATATCATTCAAAACAGTTTCTTTTACATCCTAACTACTATGACATTGATCCAGACTCTCATCATTTTTTTAACATTTTCTAAAAATGAGTCTGACTCATGTCTTTCCCATGCTTGAATTTCTATTGCCTTCAGGGTAAAAATATAAATATGGCACTTCTTACCTCCTCAGCCTCCTTTCCCAACACTTTTTCCTCTAAGTGTCACACTTTGCACTAAACTATAAATAGTTACCTAAATATATTATGCTAATTCATGTTCTGGTATTTTTGAATTTGCTGTTCCTTCTGCCCTGTATGCCCTTCCGTGCATCTTCACCTGGTGAACAATTTCTAATCTTTTAATTCTCAATACAGACATTTCCTTCTCTGAAAAGACTGCCATGACTGCCAGCCTGGATTAGGTCCCATTTTTTTTTCTGTGCACACTTAGCCTCCTGTTCTTACTTGTATCATGGCACTGGTAATAATGATAGATGATCGAGCACTATTGGACCAGTTATTATGTAGTATTGTTATTATTATGTTAGTATTATAATAATACTATAGTACCTTGTTTTGTCCTCAAGATAACTTTGAGAGAGATTTTCATCCCCAATTCTATACATGAGGAAATTGATGCACAGAGAAGTTAAGTAACTTACCCAAGGTCACAGAGCTAATAAGTAGTAGAACTCTAGTATTTGAACCCAACCTCATTCTCTGAGAGCCTGTGCTGCTTACCCCAGTGCTATAGGCCAGTGAGTCTCACATTTGATCATACATTCAAATCACCTGGAGGGTTTGTGAAAACATAGGTGGCTGCCCTTGCTCTCAGAGTTCCTGCATCAGGTCTGAGGTGGGAGATTTTGCATCTTTTCTTTTTTTCCTTTTTTAATTGAAGTATAGTCAGTTTACAATGTTGTGCCAATTTCTAGTGTACAGCATAATATTTCAGTCATATATATACATACGTATATTCCTTTTCAGATTCTTTTGCATTATAGATCACTACAAGATACTGAATATAGTTCCCTGTGCTATACAGTAAAAGCTTGTTGTTTATCTGTTGATTTTGCATTTCTGACAAGCTATAGGTGATACTGATGCTGGTCCATGGACCACACTTTGAGAACCACTGTCCAGGCTGCAAACCAATTTCTTCACTGAAATTGTCTATTTGCTTGTCTTTCTCCCCAGCTAAAATGGAAGTTTGGCAGGAGCTGGTTCGTTTTCTCTTTTCTTTTTTTTATGTCTGCATTCCTAGCATCTAGCAAAGTAGTTCTGACAGGGGGTAGGCCCTCCATAAATGTTTATTTGAATGAATGAATGAGGTAATGGTTCTGGGCTCTTCATTTAAGTGTATTTTTTGCCCGAATGAAATTTCTGTGTATTTTAAGAATTCTCAGGTTTTATCAGTCACATACCTGACTGGCATACGGGGGCTGCATACACAAAGGTTTTGTAAGGTTAATTGTTAATTACATGATTGTAAAATACTCTGACGCTGAAAGTCACATTGGTTATATTTGACTCACTGTTCTTTCTAGAGTGGACCGGTCACTGCCTGTTAATTTATACCATCATTACATGCAAAGAGGCTCTTTGGCCTTTTAGCAGATTTAAACATATCTTTCTTAAAATAGCACCTTCCTTGATGTAGAATGATTCTATCATAAATGTGATGGCTTATAGAGCTTGTGGTACATTTACTTTCCAGTGTTCAAGCTTCTTAAAATGCCTGTGGGACGAGGAGTAGCTGAGTGGGAGGTCGGGGCTCCTTATCTCAGCCAGCTCAGCTCTGTGTCACTACCAACCAGGCATCAAATGGGAAACAAGAAATTTCTCACCACTTGAGAACTTTGTTTCTAACAGTCAAAGTTTGGCTTTATGGTATTTTCTTATGTTACTTTTCTTTCCAAATAGAAATTACTAAAATTTTTTTTTATTATAACAGGTTTTGCAAGAACTTCTTGAAAACATAGAGAGGCAGGTTAACCGCCTTTGTGAAATTGTTTCACGAATGCAGCATTCTTTGGAGAAATCATTGTCACTAAACGATGTAAGTGTTATAAGAACATTTTTAGTACTTTGATAAGCCTCTAGTTTCTAAAAATCAGTCAGTTAGAAGTGATAGAGAACTAATAACTGTGAGTTTATCTATACTTACTTTAGCAGCAAGTTGGAGACTAAACCTCCTTTGGAAGAATGCTGAAGTTTAGTTTAGGTTTGAGAGATTATGATACTGAGTATTTGTGTGTTTGTAACCATGAGGTATAAAATGCAAAGTGTAGGGTTGAAGAGGAATAAAAACCATATAATCAAAATTCAACATTTTTACTTGACTTTGGAAAATGATATTGCAAGGAAAATAGGTATTAATGTTTTTTTAACCAACTTTTTAATTCTTAATTTTACTCACAGATGATTAATACTGGCTTTGTGTCATTTTAGAGGTCATCTGGATTTGCACAAAAATGTTTTGATTGTGTACCTCATGGAGATATTAAGTCTAAAAACCAAAGAAAGGAGCTTAACCCATTGTGTTCTCTTACCCTGGACAGGGAGATTGTAACCCAACTATTCCAGTGGAAAGGCAAGAAAACGGTGCCGAGATCAACCCTGTAGGAACATCTCTTCAGTCAGCAGCACTTCCTAAACTGCAGGAGCCAGTTCTCACGGAAAGTCCACCACTTCCCAAAATTGTCTCCTCATATTCATTACAGCCATGTCTCACACCAGGCAGCCCGTTTTCTGATCCTGGTGTTCCATCCTTTTTCAGCGAAGGTGCCGAAAGTACCAACAGTGTTATCTCACCTGCCCAGGCTAATCTAGCAGTACCTACAGCAGTTCTCCCACAGGGAGAACCCAGTCTGGCAGACACCCCTAAGACACCCTCAACTATAATGGAAAATAATAGCGTGAGCCCAGACACTGCCTTGCCACCTCGCTGCATCCTTCCCAATTCTGGTGAGTTTGAAATGCCACACATTATAAATAGCATCCTTTAATCTAGATTCTAAAGCATCCTTAATGCAAACTAGTGATAGCTATTTTTTAACTAAAAGTTTTATATTGAGATAATTGTAGATTCACATGTAGTTGTAAGAAATAATGCAGAGTGATGCCTTTTACCCAGTTTCCCCCAATGGTAGGTAACATCTTGTTAGTTCTGTGCAGTTTTATCACATGAGAAGGTTTGTATATCCACTGCCATAGTCAAGGTATAGAACATTTCCATCACCACAAAGATCATTTGTATTGCCTTTTTATAACCACACCTGTCACCCTCCGGTAACCCTGCCCTCCCTGTTCCCCTGTCTCTAACTGTTGGCAACCACTGATCTAGTCTCCATTTGGGAACTTTGTCACTTCAAATTGTTATATATTTGGATGCATGTAGTATGTAACATTTTGATATTGGCTTTTTCTACTCAACATAAGTCCCTAGAGATTAAACCAAGTTGTTCACTAGTTCCTTTTTATTGCTGAGTACAGATGTGTCATAGTTTAACCATTCATCTGTTGAGGAAAATTCTGTGTTTTTTTTTTTTCAGTTTTTGACTATTAGTTGCTATGAATATTCATGTATAGGTTTTTGTGTAAATAAAAGTTTTCATTTCTCTGACATGTATACCCAAGAGTGCAATTGCTAGTTATATGTTAATTACATGTTTAATTTTATGAGAAACTACCTGTTTTCCAGTGTAGCTGTACCATTTTACATTCCTATTAGTTATGTATGAGTGATCCAGTTTCTCTGCATCCCTATTTCTGCATTTCTGCTGTTTCCATGATCCTTTCTTCCTTCTGATGCTTCATGATTCATTCTTACATCATATCCTATCTGATAGAAGATTTTCTTCTAGTTTTTTCTTTAAGAGTAAGTCTGCTGGGGACAAAATCTTTTAGTTTTCCTTTGTGTGAGAATATCTTTATTTCTCCTTTTTTCCTGAAGGATAGTTTCCCCAGTGTAGAATTTGTGAATGAAAGTTCTTGTATTGTAGCCCTTGAAAACTTTTTATTTACAGAAATGCCAGGAAAAGAAGAAATCAGCCTTGAAAACAGCACAGAATCAGTGCATTACCCAACTTTATTCAGAAATGACAGTGGCCAAGATACTGCTTCTTCGTCTATCTTCATCCCTCTCAATTTTAGTGAGTTTGAAATGACACATGTTACAAGTAGCACTATTTAATCTAGATTTACTAACATTCTCAGTGCAAATCAATGGGTAGCTCTTTTTTATTTTTATTTTATTTTTATTTTATTTTTTAACATTTTTTATTGATTTATAATCATTTTACAATGTTGTGTCAAATTCCAGTGTAGAGCACAATTTTTCAGTTATACATGAACATATATATATATATTCATTGTCACATTTTTTTTCCTGTGGGTAGCTCTTTTTTAAATTAAGCTTTTTATTTTGAAATAATTTTAGATTCATGTGTAGTTGTAAGAAATCATACAGAGATCCTATTTATGCTGTACCCATTTTCCTCAACACCATCTTGTTAAACTATAGTGAAATATCACAATTAGGATACTGACATTGATTAAATATACATTTGTGTGTGTGTGTGTATGTTTGTGTGTATTTAGTTCTATGCAATTTTATTCCATGAGTTGATGTATTTCCCCACCATCACAGATGTAATATAGAACATTTCCATCCTTACCACAAAAACCCTTCATATTGCCCTTTTATAACAACAACTACTCCCTCTGGTCACCCTTTCCTCCCACCCTCTCCTTTCCTAATCCCTGGCAAGCAGTGAACTGATTTCCCTTACTATGGTCTTGTCACTTGAATATTACCATTTAAATGGGATAAGATACTGTATAACCTTTTGGACATGACTTTTTATTTATTTGTTTATTTATTTTACCAAACATGATTTCCTGGCAATTTACACCAATTGTTGCATATATCAAGAGTTCCTTCCTTTTTATTGTTGAATACTGTTCCATGCTGTGGGTGTATAACTTTTTGTCTGTTCACCATTGAAGGACATCTGGGATATTTCCAATTTTGGGCTATTACAAGTTTAGCTCTACGGACAGTTATGTAACGGTTTTTGTGTAAATGTAAGTTTACATTTCTTTGAGATAAATGCCCAAGAGGGTAATTCTGGGTCATATGTAATTCCATGTTTAGTTTTATGTGAAACTACTGAAGTTATTTTTCAGAGTAGCTGTACCATTTTACCTTTCATCCGTAATATATGTGATATAATTTCTCTACATGCATGTTTCTTCTCTTTCCATTCTTCTTTCTTTCTTTCTTCTTGATGCTCAAAGATCCATTCTTTCATCATATCCTTTCTGTTTGAAGATTTTTTTAGCCTTCCTTTAAGGGTAAGTCTGCAAGAAACAAGTTCTTTTAATTTTCCTTCATGTGAGGAATGTCTTTATTTCCCATACATTAATGAAGGATAGTTACATTGTGTATAGAATTAATGATTGAAAGTTATTTTCTTAAGCACTTGAAAAATGTTTTTCCTGTAGATACACCAGAAACCAGCCTGGGAAATAACCCTGAGACAAAAAGTAACCCAACTTTATTGATAAATGACAGTGGCCAATGTTCTTCGTCTTTCATACTCCCACCCAATTTTGGTGAGTTTCAAATGAGACATACTACAAGTAGCACTGCTTAATCTAGATGTGTCAATATCCTTAATGCAAGCTAGTCGTAGCCCATTTTTAAAATGAAACTTTTTATTTTGAAATAATCTTAGGTTCGCATATATTTGTAAAAAATATAAAGAGAAATAATATAAAGAAATTCACACATATTTGTAAGTAATAATATAAAGAGATCCTTAATATAAAGAGACTCTTTCCTCCCAATGATAATTTCTTACACAACTAGTAAAATATCACAACCAGGGTATTGACATTGATACAATACACACATGTTATTGAGATGCTCCCAGTTTTACTTGTAGTAATTTGTGTCTGTTTATGTTTATTTCTGTCTAATTTCATCACATGAGTAAGTGTCAAGATACAGAACATTTCCATCACGTAAGATGCCTCTTTTTGCCCTTTTATAGCCACATCCACCTCTCTCAGGTCACCCTTTCCTTGCCCACTGCCTAGCCCCTGGCAAACACTGGTTTCTATAATTTTGTCACATCAAGAGTGTTATATAAAGGGAGTCTTATGGTACATAACATTTGAGTATTTTTTTTTCACTCAGCATAATTCTTTGAAGATCCATCCAGGTTGTTGCATGTATCCATACTTCCTTCCTTTTTATTGCTGAATAGTTTCACAGGATTTCAATATACAATAGTTGTTTTTAACCATTCACCCACTGAAGGACATTAGTTTTCTTCCCTTAGTTTTTTGTATTAGGAGTAAAGCTGTTATCAACAACCATGTAACTGGTTTTTGTATGAATATAAGGTTTTATTTCTCTGTCATGAATGCCAAGAGTGCAATTTTTGAGTCTTATGGTAATATCATTTTAGTTTTATAAGGAAATGCCAGCTTTCTAGAGAGGCTGTACCATTTTTCATTCTTACCAGCAGCAATCTGTTTCTTCACATTCATATTTCTGTTCTTCCCATTGTTCTTTCTTTCTTCCTGTTGCTCCAGATTTCCTTCTTTCACCATATCCTTTCTGTTTGAAGATTTTCCTTTAGCCTTTCTGTATGGGTAAGTCTGCTAGGGACAGATTCTTTTAGTTTTCTTTTGTTTCAGAATGTTTTTATTTCACCTTTTACTTGAAGGATAATTTCACTTCATGTAGAATTCACAGTTGACAATTCTTTTCTTTCAGCGGTTGAAAAATTCATCCTTATAGAAATGCCAGGAAAAGCAGAAAACAACCTGGAAAACAGCTCTCAGACAATGTATTACCCAGCTTTATTGGGAAATATCAGTGGCCCAGATACTAATTCTTCATCTTATTCGGTTCCAACCAATTTTGGTGAGTTTGAAATGATTCATATTATGAGTAGCACTGTTTATCTAGATCCATCCACACCCTTAATATAAGCCAGTTGCAGCTCTTTTTAAAACTTTAAAAAATGTTATTTAAGATTCACATGCAGTTGAAAAAAATACAGAGAGATCCTGTTTATGCTTTACCTATTTTCCACAGTGACCTCACCTTGCAAAACTATAGTACTGGGTCACAGCCCAGTTATTGACATTTATTCAACCCACAGATGTTATTGAAGTGCTTCCAGTTTTACGTGTATGTGTATGTGCACACTTTCATGTGTGTATTCAACACTGTGCAATCTTAGCACATGAGTAAGTGAGCTTCTACAGTTAAGGTAGAGATCATTTACATCACTCAAGGATCCCTTGTTGTTGCCCTTTTACAACCACATCAGCCTTCCCTTTATCCAAGATTCATCCCTAACACCTGGCTACCCTTGATCTCTGTTTCTACAATTTTGTCTTTATTGTTATAAGTGGAATAATACACTGTATAACCTTTGGGATTGGCTTTTTTCACTCAGCCTAATTCCCTGGAGACTCATCCAGTTTGTGGCATGTATCAGTAGTTTATTACTCTTATTGCTGAAGAGTATTCCCAATGCTATGGATACACAACATTTTGTTTAACTGTTCACCTGTTGAAGGACATCTGGGCCTTTTCAGTTTTTGGCTATTAGGAGTAAAGCAGCTATAAATATTCATGTATACACTTTTGTGTAAATATCAGTTTTTATTTCTCAGTAGTTCTTTTCTATTGATGAAGAGTTTCCCATGGTATAGATATGCAACAGTTTTTTTTTAAAAAACCATTCACTCATTAAAGGACATCTGGCTTTTTTCTTTCTGAATTTTTAGATACTACAAGTAAAGCTGCTGTGAACATTCATGTACTGATTTTTGTGTAAATATAAATTTTCATGTCTCTGTCATGAATGCCAAAAGTATAGTTGCTAGGTCTTGTAGTAATAGCATGTTTAGTTTTATAAGAAACTGCCAAACAGTTTTCCAGAGAGGCTATAACATTTTACATTCCCAACAGCAATGTGTGGGTGATACAGTTTCTCTCTATCCATATTTATGATCTTTCCATTGTTATTTCTTCCTTCCTGATGCTCCAAGATTCCTTCTTTCATAATATCCTTTCTGTTTGAAGATTTTCCTTTAGCTGTTTTTAAGGGCAAATCTGCTAGGGACAATTAAAAAATCTTTTCCACTTTGGGTCAGAATGTCTTTATTTCTTATTCTTTCCTGAAGGATAGCCTCACCCAGTATAGAATTCACAATTGAGAATTCTTATCTTTCAGCACTTGAAAAAGTTATACTTATAGAAACGCCGGGAAAAGCAGAAGCCAGTGTGGAAAACAGCTCTCAGACAAATTCAGTGGGAAATGACAGTGGCCCAGATACTGCCTCGTCAACTCACTACATTCCACACAATTTTGGTGAGTTTGAAATGATACAAATTTTATGTAGCACTGTTTAATTTAGATCCATCAACATCTTTAATGTAAGCTCATGATAACTCTTTTTAAATTAAACTTTGAATTTAAGATAATCCCATAGTTGTAAGAAATAATAGAGTGATTCTGTTGATGCTTTATCTAGTTCTCCGAACAATAACATGTTATGAAACTATAACAGAACATCACAACCAGGATATTGACATTGATAAAATCTACAGATTTTATTGAGATTTCCCCAGTTTGATTGTATTGATTAGTGTATATGCATGTTTAGTTCTATTTGATTTTTATCATATGAGTAGGTTTGATATCCACCACCTAGTCAAGATTCAGAACATTTCCATCACCATAAGGATGCCTCATCTTGCCCTTTTGTAACCGCACTCACCTCAGCTTGATACCCTGGACATTCATTTGACTTGTGTGCATCAGTAGTTCCTTCTTTATTGCTGAGTACTATTTCATGGTGTGGATGTACCACAGTTTGTGTATTGATTCACAGTTGAAGAATGTCTGAATTTTTTTCCAGTTTTCAGTATTACAAGTAAAATTGCTATGACTGTTCATGTACAGGTTTTTGTGTGAACATAAGTTTTAATTTCTCTCAGATAAATGCCCAAGAGTGAAAATGTTTGGTTGTGTGGTAATTGCATATTTAGTTTTGTAAGAAACTGCCAAGCAGTTTTCCAGAGAGGCTGTACCATTTTACTCTCCTGCCAGCAACGTGTGAGTGATCTAGTTTTCCACATCCATATTTCTGCTGCTTTTATTGTTCTTTCTTCGTTTTTGGTGCTCCAAGATTAGTTCTTTCATCATTCTTTTCTGGTAGAAGATTTTCCTTTAGCTATTCTCAAGTGTAAATCAGCTAGTGAGAAATACTTTTAGCATTCCTTTGTGTGAGAGTGTTTTTATTTCCTCTTTATTCTTTTTGTTTTAATCATTTGTTTGTTCATTTCTTTTTTCAGCTTTATTGAGTTATAATTGACAAATAAAATTGTCATGTATTTAAAGTGTACAATGTGATGATTTTATATACGTATATATTGTAAAAGGATTCCCACCATCGAGTTAAAACATTCAGTCGTCTCACACATTTACCTTTGTATTTTTTTTTTTGTAGTAAGAATGCTAAAGTTCTACTCTCTAAGCAGATTCCAACTATACAATGCAGTATTATCAGTTATAGCCATCATGTTATACATTAGATCCCCGGACCTCATTCATCTTAAAATTGAAAGTTTGTACCCTTTTACCAGTCGCTTCCTATTTCCCTCACCACCCAACAGCCCCTGGCAGCCACATTCCATTCTTGTTTCTATGCGTTTGACATTCTTAAAAGATTCCACACATAAGTGATACCATACAGTATTTGTCTTTTTCTGTCTGGCTTATTTCACTTAGCAAAATGCCCTCCAGATTCATCCATGTTGTCAACAAATCTGCTTTATTCTTGAGGTATTGTTTTGCCTGATATAGAATTCATGGTTGAGAATTCTTATCTTTTAGTACTTGAAAATATTTTATTTATGTAAATGTTGGTAAAAGCTCAAACTGCCTGGAAAAGGGCCCTGAGACAACAAATTATCCACTTTTTTGGAAAACAACAGTAGTCAAGATATTTCCTCATTATGTCACTGCATTCCTCCCAGTTTTGGTGAGTTTGAAATGATACTTTGACATATAGCATATTTAATCTAGATTCCTCAGTCTCCTTAGTTCAAGATAGTGGTAGCTCTTTCTAAGTAAAGTATTTATTTTTAGAATAATTTAGCTGCACAGGCAGTTATGATAAATAATACAGAGAGATCCTATGTTCCCATTACCCAATTTTCCTCAATGGTAACATCTTGCAAAATGATCAAAAATTACTACAACCAAGATATTGACATGATATCATTCATAGGTATTACTGAGATGTCTCCAGTTTCACCTGTATTAATATATGTGTGTGTATTTAGTTCTATACAATTTTTTCATATGTGTAGGTTCACATATCCTCCACCACAGGCAAGTCTTGAAACAGTTCCATCACCACCAAGATATCTCATATTGCTCTTTTATAATCACATCCATCTCCCTCCAGTTGACATTTGCCCCCTACTTCTACCCTCTGCCCTGTTGCAAGGCAACCATGAATCTCTTCTCCTGATCTATTATTTGTCCCTTCAGCATTGTTACATAAATGGAATCATGTGGTGTTTGAGATTGGCTTCTTCTCTCAGTGTGAATCCCTGGAGATTCATTCATATTGCTGTGCGTATCAGTGTTCCTTCTTTTTTTTTTTTAATTGTTCAGTAGTATTTCATGTGATGGATGTACCAGGGTTTATTTATCTGTTCACCTGTTGAAAATATCTGGGTTTCTTGTTTTTGGCTGTTAAAGATAAAACTGATATGAATATTCACTCATAGTTTTAAATTTTGCTTCATTTCATTTATTTCACTCTTTCACACAAGTTTTCATTTTTCCAGGATGAATGCCCAAGAGTGCAATTTCTGGGTCCTATGGTAATTGCATCCTTAGTTTTATAAGAAACTGTCAAACTGCTTTCCAGTGTAGCTGTACCATTTTTCATTCCTTCCAGCAAAGTATGAGTGATCTAGTTTCTCTGCATCCATATTTCTGCTTTTTCCAGTCTTCTTTCTCTTTAATACTCCAGAATTCTGTTGTATCCTTTCTATTAGAAGGTTTTCATGTAGCCATTTTTTCAAGTATGTCAGTAACAAAAACTTTTGATTTTCCTTTGTTGGTAAATATCTTTATTTTTTGCTTCATTACTAGAGAGTAATTTCATCAGATACAGATATGAGATTGGGAGGCTTTTCTTACAGCATTTGAAAAATGTTTTCCCTATAGAAATGTTGGTCAAAGCAGAAACCAGCTTGGAAAATAACACTCAGATGATGAATTACCCATCTTTCTTGGAAAATGTCAGTGATCAAGATGCTTCATGTTTCTTCATCCCTCCCAGTTTGGGGGAGTTTGAAATGATACATATTACATGTAACACTACTTAATCTAGACTTATTATCACCCTTAATGTAAGCTAGTGGTAGCTTTTCCTAATTAAAAGTTAATTTTAATTAATTAATTTAAAATTAAAAGTTTCATTTTAAGAAAATTCTAGCTACACATGCAAATTGTAAAAACAATGCAGAGATCTTGTGTGCTTTTACCTAATTTCCCCCAGAGATAACATCTTGCAAAACTGTAGTGCAATATCAAACCAGGCTATAGACATTGATAAAATCCAGATTTTATTGAGATGTCTTCAGTTTTATTTGTACTTGTGTGTGTGTATGTGTATTCAGTTTTATATAATGTCATGATATGAGTATGTTTTCATATCCTCTATCACAGTCAAGATTCAGAACTTTTTCATCACCACAAGGATCTCCCTATTGCCCTTTAAAACCACACCAACCCTTCTCCTCTCATGCTCCCATCTCTACTCTGCCTTCTCCCTGCTCTTGGCAGCCACTAATATGCTTTTCTTCTTTATAATTTTATTATTTCAAGAGTTTTACATAGACTCACATAATATGTAACCTTTTGGGGATGCCTATTTTCATTCACCGTAGTTCCCTGGAGATTCATCTAAATTGCTGTGTATATCAGTAGTTCTTTCCTTTTTATTGTTGAGTACTATTCCATGGTATGGGCATACCATAGTTTGTCTATTTGTTCACCAGTTGAAGGAAATCTGGGTTGTTTCCAGTTTTGGGCTATTTGGAGTAAAGCTATTATGAACGCTCACGTATAGGTTTCTGTATGAACATCAGTTTTTATTTCTCTGGGATAACACCCGAAAGCACATTACTGGGTCCTGTGGTAATAGTAAGTTGAGTTTTGTAAAATACTGCCAAGCTGTTTTCCAGTGTAGCTGTACCATTTTACATTCCCACCAGCCATGTATGAGTGATCTAGTTTCTCTGCATGTGTATTTCTGCTCTTTCTATTGTTCTTTATTCCTTCCTCATGCTCCAAGATTCCTTCTTCATCGTATCCTTTTCGTCAGAAGATTTTCCTTTAGCCATATTTTAAGGGTAAATCAGCAAGTGACAGTTTAAAAAAATTTTCCTTTGTCTGAGGATGTCTTTATTTCTCCTTTATTCCTGAAGGATAGTTTTGCCTAAAATAAAAATCACAATTGAGATTTCTTGTCCTTCAGCACTGAAAAATGTTTTACTTATCAAAATGTTGTTCAAACATCCAGCGCAGAAATGAATTGAGATAATGAATTACCCAACTTTAATAGAAAATGACACCAACCAAGATACTGATTCAGAATCTTTTCTTCCTCACTCCTGGTTTTGGTGAGTTTAAAATGATATCTATTATGAGTAGCACTCTAATCTAGGTCCATCAGGATTCTTAATATTAATTCATAGTGGTAGCTTTTTCAAAATTAAACTTTCTATCATGAGATACTTCAGAATCACATGTAGTTGCAATAATACAGAGAGATCGTGTGTACCTAATATCTCCCAATAGTAATAATATTTTGCAAAAATACAGTAAATCATCATAATTAAGATTTTGATATTGATATGATCCACAAATCTATTCAGTTGTCCCCAGCTTTACTTATATTCATAATATAAGTGTGTGTGTCTGTGTGTGTGTAGTCCTCTGCACTTTTGTGATGTGTTTAGGTTCAGGCATTCACCATTGCAGTCATGATACAGAACTGTTCCATCACTTTCAGAGTCCTTTTCTGGCTTTTTATAACCACACCTACCTTCTTCATGTCATCCCTTCACTGGCTTCATCCCTAACCCATCCAAATACTAATGTGTTCCCTCTTTTTAATTTTTTTATTGCAAGACTGTGTCCTGTTAATGGACTCATATAGTACATGACATTTGAAGATTGCCTTTTTTCACTTAGCATAATTCCTTGGAGATTCATCCAAGTTGCTGCATATGTCAGTAGTTCTTCCTTTTTATTACTGGGTACTGTTCCATGGAATGGGTGTA